AACTGTAATATAAGCAAAGTAAACGATCAAATGTAAGTAAGAGTAAAAGTAAATATAAGTAAAAGATGTATGCTTAGTTGACACTTCTGTGAAATCATTTAACTACCAAGGTATAGTATCAGCTATAGCTTATCTAAATTATGATAAATAATAATGACACTGATAATGAGTATTAGCAATAATGATAATGAGTGATATAAATAATTTGTCTTTCAGTTACGAACAACTGAAATACAACCATCTCTACAACAATCTCGACTGGGATCTATTTTATGCGCATTTTGAGTGCGTTTTTAATTGATAAATTACAATTATTCATTTTGATACCATTTAATCTTGTCATTTTCGTAAAATATTATTTGATTTTTGAATTCTGAATCTTAGATTTTATTCATTAACTTCGATTCTACATGTCGCCATTTATCATTGTAATCTTATCATTTGAATTTTTATTCTAAGTTTTTTTTTTCTCCCTCTTCTTCTCTTTGTTAATCATATATAGTAGATGAAATGAAATTGTAGTTAAATATGTCGATTACATGTTAAAAAAGATATTCCCAAATAACATATTGCATACATAAAGTTAATTAAATTAATTAGCAAGTTTATTAAGAAAAATTTTTTTTTTAATATTTTCATTAAACTTTATTTTTTAAGGAAAAAAAAAGCAAAAAAGCAATATTGCTAAAACAACGTTAATACTTCAAATTCATTTACGGAAATTTGATGATAACATGACAATATGGAATATTTAGCTTAGCTTATTTGACTGTTTAACATGGATACATTGTGGCAGTTTAGTTCTGATTGAATTCAATCATTTTATTGCATTGAACATGTTTGAGTAAGTTTCATTATCAGAAGATTCAATGATAATCAATCTAATAATGCAAATGAAAGTTTTAATCGATGAAAATAGCATACAAAAAAGAGTGAAAAAAGAAAACAGAGGAAGAAAAAAGTCAATAAAGTAATAAAATAAAAAGTAACGATTTGTTCTTTTAGATTATCAAATTTAAAACTACTCTTTTAGAACTTTTGATTATGAAATTTGAAACTAAAAAATGAAATGAACTGATAACATGAAAATTTTCACTATTCTTAATGAATCATTCATCTATTAGACAAATTAAACATGAAAAGCAAGATGGCAGTTCAAATTAACTTTACTGAACAGAAAATAATTCTACTGAAATACATTTTTTAACAGTTATTTATAAAATTTTATGAAGATAACACAGTTAGTAGGAAAGGATTAAAGTTCGCTTACTATCATAGAGAAATGATAAGTAAACTATGCAATCTGATTTCTGATATATCAAAAATTTCTCCTCAACTAGCATTAAATTAAAGCTAAGCAAGTTTTGTGCAGGAAAAATTGAAGGAAATTAGCATAGAACGATTGTGATCAAATGTGACTGTCAACTTTGATTGGGTTAAAAAGACAGGTAGAAATCGATATTTGGCATAATTCAACATTTTATTCTTGACTAAACTGTTAAAAATGAACTATATTCATTTATTCGTTTTTTTGTTTTTTTTTTATGCTAATTTTATAATGCAAATTTTTGAAATTTTATATTTATAAATGATCTGAATTATTTGAAGAAGTAAGATGATTAATTTGTTTTGATCAAATTCGACTGCAGGTGGTTTGTAGGATAATTTATCTGTTTGAATATGATTTACTAAACTTTTGGATTTTTATTATAGTTGTCACAAAATGAAAATAGATGACATCTTATGTCGAGTGTTATCAGTGGGTAAGGAAGGTGGTGGATTGACTAAAAATGTACGCGAAGATGAGTTGCTTGCTTTGTGTATGAAAGCTCGAGAGGTAAACATAGAAAATATTTAAAGTTTTTTTTTTCTGGAACAAAAAAAAATTCATAGTTTTGGAAATTTTCTGAAATGACAAAATATCAAAATATTATTGCTGTCATGTCAAACTATTAATTTTATTAGAAGAATTCGAAATATTTACATTTGCTGGAAGTAACGTCGATTTGAAATTTCAAAAATTCGAAAGGTGATAGTTCGAAATGATTTAATATTGTTACTCTCCTGCAGGCATTTTTGAGTCAGTCTGTATTTATCGAAATTGATCCACCAGTTAGAATTTGTGGTGATACACACGGTCAATATGGTGATCTGTTAAGGCTTTTTCACCGCGGTGGTTTTCCACCAGAATCAAATTATCTATTCCTCGGTGATTATGTAGACCGCGGTCCTCAAAATCTTGTTGGTTCCTTCATAATGTGATCAACTATATTAAAATTATAATCAATAAAATAGTATGAAACAATGTTAAAAAAAAAATATCCAAATATAAAGGCTTAATTTTTTGATGTAAAATTTTAAGGTGAAAGTTTAAAATAGTATATTAGAATACGAGATTTAATTAAAAGATTAAGAGCAAATTAGTTAAATAGGAGAAATAAAATATGAAATAAGATGGATAGAGTAATACTTAAGTTTTAAATAAGATGGATAGAGTAATACTTAAGTTTTACTGGTACACGATAAAAAACAAAATATTCTACTCATTATATTTTGAAATCACAAAACAAATATAAGAGCAAAGTGAATAAGTCTAAGTTTAACTATAAAATAAACAATTATGTCATCTTTCTGTTCTATTATCTGATATTGTCTATTTCTATCAAAAATTCTAAATTACCATCAAAAAAAAAAAAAAAAAAATGAAAAAACAAGAAAGTAATGTAATAAAATCCAATACGAATTTTTCCATATTCAATTAAAAATTAACTTTTTGAATTTTAATTGAAATTTTCTCTGCAAATAACTTGTAGTAGTAACTTTTCAGGAAGTAATTTGTCTCTTATTTTGTTATAAAATAAAATATCCGAATAATTTTTTTTTGCTACGCGGTAATCATGAATGTAATACGGTTAATCGAGTGTATGGATTTTATGATGAATGCTTAAGACGTTACGGATCGAATCGTCTTTGGCAAGGATTTCAGGTATGATAAACGTAACGTAGAGTTGGATTCGATTATTCCGTTAGAAGCAAAGATTTTTTGCTTTTCCGGAAAATGATAGCTTTTGCATTGTACAGGACGGAATTATCATCTACTCATATTCCTGATTGAATTTACGGAAAAGATTTCTGATTTAGGATGTATTTGCTGTTATGCCTTTATGTGGTTGTGTTGGAAGTCGAATATTATGCATGCATGGAGGTTTATCGCCACAATTAAAAGACTTCGAACAGGTTATCATCGTAATCTGAAATTTGTCCGATCGAAAAGTTCGATAATTTTCATGATCAGGAAGATGATCTCAAATCTCAAATCTCTTGCTAGTCTTGTTTTTTTGTAATAAGTGGAAAATTTTTCAGATGAAATGCAAAATTTTTACGGAAGTACTAAAAGAAGCAAATATATGCGTTGTTATCAGTTATCAAATCTAGAAATGTAATATTTTTTTTTTTGGTAAAATAAAGATCAATTTTGCAGTTGCGTAATATACAGCGTCCGTTAGAACCGGTTAGTCCATCGCTGGAAATGGATTTACTTTGGGCTGATCCGGTAGTGGGTATTCAAGGTTTTGAACCTAATTTACGTGGTGCATCGTTTGGTTTCGGTGAGGATGTCGTCATTGATGTTTGTAAAAGATTGGATATTGATATGATTGCTCGAGCTCATCAAGTATGAAAAATTGAAATTTTGAAATATTTCTTCGAAGAATGAATATCTCAGATTTTTACACCTCAAATATAATCAGATAGCACTTGAGGTAGTTGAATTCATAATTGTTGAATATTACATTTATCAAATTTCTGAGAATATTTGAAATGAAATGAAAATAAAGAGTGATGAAAATTTTGAATAGAATTGCAATAACTTTGAAAGCAAATCATTTGAAATATTTTGAGTTACTGGTAAATACTAAGGACGCTCAGATTTATTCGATCGAATAATAGAGCAAATTAAAAGCTAATTTTAGGTCGTACAGGATGGTTACGAGTTTTTCGGCAATCGCCGTTTGGTGACGGTTTTTTCGGCGCCGCATTATTGCGGACAATTTGATAATGCAGCCGCAAGCATGATTGTTGATGAAAATCTTGTTTGCTCGTTTCAGGTCTCATATATCTCCAAGTTAACAAAGAAAACTCTTACTAGTTCATCTTGAAATTTCCAGAAATCCTTCCTAGAACTGCTTTATCATCCAATTCTTCGACTATGAAAAACTAAAAACTGCTTGTAAAATCAATTTTAATTTAGATTCTACGACCTCAGGCCACGCCAGGGCAAACACGTCTCGTCAAAACTGTACGCAACAAAACTGAAAAGCTTTCTTCCGAATTATGATGCACATATCTGAAAAACTGATAGATCTATCAGTGATTTTAATAAATAAATAAATACTCATTTATAAACAACTTTTTCGTTTATCGTAATCTCTACTTTGCAACATCAAAACATTTTGATTGGAATTTTATTAAATTCATTCGAACATTTTCAATATACCTGCAATGCTGACAATAATCATAGGAACTTTTTGTATAATAAAGATTACCCGCAAAAGTAGACTATAAGTTTAATGGTAATGTATGGAAAGAGCAAGAATAAATAATTCAAAAAATATGAATGCAACTTAAAATTGAATGGAAAGTAGATGGCACTCAAAAAGGACGTATTTACCATGGTTATTTGTCTCCCTGCTAACTTTCAGCAGTAACAAAATGGAACAAAAACAGTAAAGCCTGAAATTGATAAAGTAAAAACGTAAGAAGTTGAAAGAATATACAATATACAGTCTCCTATGTTAAATTTGTAAGACAAATTACATGTAGCACTCAAAAACTACCCCATATCATTGATTTATTCACTTATTCCATCATTATTATGAATCCAACAAAAATGATTCAAAATTTTTAAATTTTAAGTGAAAAAGGAATGGAATAGCTAGAATTTCGAAATAAATTAATGAGGATAGCTTCAACTGGAAGAATTGAAACAAATACTAAAATAATTAATAAGAATCTTGGCCATTAGCAAGCATTTCCTCTAAGTACTTTTCGGTGTACAATGATCGAACAACATGTGCAAACAATTCACTCATATGTAGAATGTGATAATTTTGGACTTGAATAAAGTAAGGTTGAGCCAGTTGAGAAGTTGCTTGAAATGGAATATACTGCTTGTGTGAGCAGAATTCCTTGAATGATTGTGTACGACAATTGAGGACCGGTGCATTGATAGTATTTCGTGGTGATTTATTTGGAGCTATAGTTTGCTGAGATATATACAAATTCATCAAATGGCATATGTAACGCATTCTGGAAGTTTTTTTTTAAAAGAAAATCATAGAAATCCACAACTATGGAAGAATATTCTATAAAATTTTTCGATACACAAGGTCTGGATGACAAACAAATGACTCAACAATTCTACATGTTCAAATACAACAGGACATTTCTTCGAATATTCCAAAAACTAGGTCTTAATTTATTAAAATATGCGCTAAGATTGTGAATGTTAAATAAAAAAAAGAAGCAAAACTATTTAAAACTGTCAAATAATTGAAATTTCAAAAATAAAACTAACTTGGTGGAATAAGGATGTTTTTTAGAGAAACCAATCAATGAAAAGAATGAGCTTGACTTCTCATCACTACTTGCTCGTTCAAGCCATTCCAAATACTGCATTAGAAACTGATTGCCCTGTGTTACAGAATAATTATACTGTCGCAGCAATAATTTCTGCAATTTCTCCATTAAAAGTAAAAATCCTGCTTCATTGGTTACGTATCTGAAATGAAACGAAATTGTTTTGGACATCATCAAGACCCAATTGTTATTTTTCTTTCTTCTTCCTTTCCCTTCTAACATACAGTCCTTCCTATGTTAACATTTGCATTTTATAGATTTTTGAGAAAAAAAATACATAAAAAAAGTTAGGTAATCAAAAGCAGACGCAATCCTTTTTCTTACTGTCGAAACGTTTATATCAATAACATAAATATTTAACACAAATTTAATTACAATTTCATCAAAATTCTACTATTAAAAAAAGTAAGATTCTGATTACAGCATTATTTCAGCTTTCTTGGCAAGCAGATTTAGGATAATTTTGCCAGTCGTAAGTGAATCTTATTAACAATTGTCATCTAATCTAGGCTATTGTAACCATATACTGAGATCATGACAGTTACTAATATTTATTTTAGAAATAGAGAATTTTGGAATTAGATATTTCACTCACTACACTTTCAAAAGTGATACCTTGGTTTTATGGTTGTTATATAATCCAACAAAGTTCGTAACAATGTATTTTCCTGTTGCAGTGATGCAGTTTCCATTGTTGTTAGCGATATAAGTTGTTTCATTATAAATGTATTTGTGCATAGTGGTAAAAATGCATTATTTTCAGAACTGAAATTGATAATCCGAAAGAGAGTTTAAAAAAATAAAACAATAAAAACTATATTTCATTAAAACTTATATAAAAAGCATAAAATTAAAAAACAATAATTATGTTTTTTCCAAGCAGTGTGATATCGGTGATCCTACTATAGAGTAATTCACGAGCACTCACTAAAATTCCACTAGAATAGTTATGAGTTGAAAGCTATCGATGTTTCGGGATAATTAGAATACAGCGTAACATATCCTTATTTCAAAAACTTTAAGCAGTGGAAGAAGATAATGAGTCAAGCATTCATTGATTAGCTTCGAGACCATCATCAATTTTACAATGATGATTTATTGGCAGGTTGCATAAGTGTAACACTAGATCGACAAAAATTTCATTCATATATGTTGCATAATAAAAGAATCAAGTTTATAATATATATTCAGCAAATAGATTATAGAACCTACCTGGGTAAAGTGAAAAGAACTTGATCGCAATTGTCAGATAATACAGTCCATTTTAGTATAACATCCCATTTACATAAGCCCATTCCTTGAAAAAATCATAGCAATAACTATTATGAAACTGAGAAATAAATAAAACGTAACTAACTGCTCAGATATTATTTCAATGTTTCACAGCTATGGGCTGATAGAGTACTATTTATAAAACATATTTAAATATTTAATAATTATGCAAGTCTTAGGAAGTGAAAAAATGTTTTGCTGTGCTTTCCAATATTATGTACAGTCTAACCATAACATCTGGTACTGCCATATTATTTACGACGTCTAATCAATCGAAGTTTAATTAACTTCTACTGTAAAATAACTACATTGAAAAATTATCAGAAAACATACTTCCAAAATATGTTCCAATACATTTTTCGATAATTTGAAGACCAAGCGAAATCTGATTTATTTTTAACGAATTTGTAGTGGTATTCAGTAGTAATAAAACAATCGAAGAATTACAATTCTCTTCTAACCATTGCAGTAAAACTGATGAAAACACTTCTAAAAGTTATAAAAATTATTTACTGTCTAGACATCTTATCATCATCGTATTTGAAAACAATAAGCTTCGATTGTGTAAATAATGGTTTTTTAAAGAGTATCTCAGAAGATTGTAGCGAGAAGAACAGAAATGATGAAAACTAGCGGAAATTCACACATCGTTCATATGTCTTGTCTTCTAGCTAAAAACTTTTCTACAAATTTATTCAGAAATAGTGTTATAGTACAGGGATGTTTCCCTTATTTCTCCTTCCCTATTTTCATCCACACTAACTTAATTTCTAGGATATGCAAGGTCACATGAATGTAACTATCTATATATAAAATGATATATAGCTATCTATATAAAATGATATAGCTAAATTATACGCTAAAATATTCGCACCATTACCTAAGAATTTATTATTAGATATATCAGACCAAAATGACGTCAATTCACGTGACAGATATGCCTGGTTTTCAGATGGTACTCCTGAAAAAAGGTTAATGACATCAATTTTCCTCGAAAGTTTTCTTCCAGTATTCAAATCTCTGTAACTTTTTAGTAACCAAACTTCTATCAACTGTTAAGAAATTAATAACAAATAATAGAAATGGAATACCTGTTGATGAAACGATATTATGAACAACTTTTATTTGGTCTTCATAAAAACGTTTCACCCATGTCCGATCATTTGCATTTCCCAGCATTAAGGTAAGTTGAGTACGAATATAAAATGACTGCTTCTGACAGACTTCTGCAGCCGAGACAAGATCAACTGGTAATGTTCCAAGGAAGCAAACATGGCGGTACAATCTGTTCAATTAAAAAGAACTATTATATCAAACAATATCTAACCGTCACCAAAATAACTTGTGCAAATGTAACACCGACTTATTTTCAAAATATTCATTTGCACTAAAAAGCTGTTATAACATTAAACAATGGAAAAAAAAATTAAAACCTGAAAATGATAACATAACGTATTCAATATTTCAATAAATGAAGACAAACTCGAAGAAAGCATGCGTAACATCGTTCGGATCAGTCAGGACTACTACTGAAAATTTGGATGCAATACGAGATGAAATAGCATTAAGTTGTTGCACGTCAATTAAGTGCCATGGAAATGGATTCAATGAATTCATCAATTTTGGCAATGAAGCACGGCAAATCTGCAAGGAAATGGTAGCATATCAAAACAAACTATCTTGATTCGAAGTTTTTTTTTCGTTTTAATCTATTGAACAAGTCTAGTAAATCAATTCATCTATCACTTCTTATAATGACATGAGTTCACTATCGTTTGATTTTTTTTTTTTCGAATTCTAACATCAAACAAAAAGTCATATTTTGGAAAAAAGATCGTTAACCGCACAGAGTACAAAAAGTACTTATGCGTTCCTTGCGATGTTTCCAATTTTACTAAAATCAAAAACGAGAAAAGTCAGTGAATTATTTATTACTGATTCTGATTCACATGTTTTACTATCTATATGCGATGTTAAATAAGCAATTTTCTAGAATTAACTTAAAAAATTTTTAAATTTCATTAATAAAACTTTAAAAAGAAGCGCACTGTATAATTGGATGGACGACTGATACAACTTGCTAATAGCGAAAATAACAATGAATAAAAAACACGATGCGCATCTAAAGGTTGCTGCACCTGCAATATTCAATAGAAAAAAATTTTTCGGATTGTTATTAAAATAAAATAAAAAACTTAAAATTCTACATCTTTAAGAAATAAAATTTTAAGTGGAGGAAAATAATTTCAGAAGACAGCTATAAGATTCAACAACATTGCATGAAAATAACCAGTAAATGCTGTAGAAAAACTAGAAAGGGAGATAAATGAAGCATATTCTTGAATTGTGTAACAAATAAGAATAAATGCAAAAAAATAAGTCACTTGGTATTGTATGAGATGAAGCCATGGAATACGAACAACAATTTGAGTAATAAGAGGAGCACTTTCCGGTGCACCATTAATCATAATTTTATCCATTGAAGCAAGATCGTATAAACTTGGCCAGAATAAGTGCCAAGGAATATTAATAAAACAACTTTCCTGTAAAATTTCAGTTCAATGAAAGAAATTTACTATGAATTAAGAGCAGCGATACAATTTAATTAATTTAGTGTCTATGCTAATTACCAAGTAAGTACCGAAGCAGAGTAATATCAATCTTTTGAAGCTTTAAACAGTTCAGTAATGTTTTGCAGAAGACACGTTTTAGTCAGTCTCAAAAAAAAAAAAAATTATCTTTCAGGAGTCTAGTAAATTAAGTTGTTAGAAAAGATGAATAAGTGAACATAATTATTTTGGTTTTTTGGCAAAGAATCTGGTTCTAATCTAAGCAAAAAATAAATTCTCTTAATTAGTAAGAAATGTGATAAAACATACAATAATTTGATGTACGTGAGAGCCACCACGTGTAAAAAATGCCAGTTTCTCAGCGTAATAACGCCAAAACAGTGTTATCAAATTTTCAGAACCGGGTGGAAAGTAAGCACCGTACAACAGATGAAGTTTTTCCATCAGTGATATAAAATAATCTAGAACAACTGTAGCAGTATCGGTATCGGCTGGATTCCATGGAGGAAGACCAGGACCAAATGGTTCCAAAAGTGGTCCAAATACATGTACGCAAGTTCCGAACACTTGTCGTAATTCTGGAAATATTTTTGTAGTTTTTCAATTCAATAATAAGAAGGGAAACATGAGTAATAAATTATACGCTTCCACACGAAAAGAAAAAAGTTTTCGCTCTTAGCTGTACTTAACGTATAAATACTAACTACCAATAGAAAGAAAGATATACTTCAATATATATTCAAATTAAATGCAACAGCAGCAAACTATATAGTTAATTATTAATACAGTCTGATGTAATGTCCTATAACAAATAATAGTTTCTACTCTGTGCTAGTTTTATCATAAACAAATAATAGTTTCTACTTTGTGCTAGTTTTAACTTTACAATTCAAAAGATTTAAAAAAAAAGCGATTTTTTCGAAAATCTAGTCTAGTTCCATCCGTTAAATAAAATTTAACGTAGTAATGAAAAGTAGATTATTAGTTGTGAGAAAGGAAAGCAAACCTGATTCAAGTTTTGCAGTAGGTAGTTCGGGATCAAATGATAAAGATGCCGCATTGTACAGGAAAAACTGAACTAAATGCAACACTTTTGGTAGATAATCTGCCCAAATACTGTACAGCCTAGTAGATAATTCATTCCTAGATTTTTTAAATTGTATAGCAATTGTTTCACTTGCAGTAGTTGCCTGCAATAATTCAATTATCTGTGCAGTTACTGATCTAGACGCTGCAAGTAAAAATAAAAGATATAGTGAGCAGGAAATTGTACGATATTAAGCAATTCATTGGCAATAACAATTTAGTTTCATTTACTTTTCAATTAATATATTTGATTCCAATTAATTTAATGTGGTTTGTTAACTTAGCAATACAAATTGAAAAAAATTAAATGAATTTGAATTTTCTGGTGATAATTCATTCCAAGCTAACATCATCATTTAAATTAAACGAAACATGAGAATGTAAGATTTACAGTCATAATATCGATGATATACTCTGGTTTAGTATCCATTATGTTCACACTGTCTGCATTAAATTTTTTGGCAATTTCATCAAATATGCAGAGTGGTGTACTTTTTGTATCGCACGCTGGAAAAGATATAAAAAGTTTTGTTACGATTAAAAAAATTTCCTGATCAACCCTACAATGAGTTAAATCCTTAGAGGAAAGTACTGAGAACGTTAAAAGAGTTATCCTTGTGGAAAAAGCAAGATGAAATTTTTGCATATTTATCATTAGTAGAGATAGCATTAGCAATGTAAAGACAAAAGATTACGCCATAAAGAACAGCTCAAAAAAAAAACAGTGGGACTCCCTGAGCGCATTTCTACATTTTGAACTTTTTATCTTTAGAAAATTATATAAATTACATGAATTACTTTTTCTTTTTTGCGAAATTCTTATAAATAAAAAAAAAATGTATAAACCATTCATACCAGAAAGTGAAAGCTTTAAACCATCAATAAAATTGCTCGGGAACCGATGAAAAACGGAATGGATGAAATGTTTTGTACAAACATCATATAGCGGCAGTGAGGTATCTGATATTGAAATCAAATTTTCAAATGCAGCAGGCATAAGCTGTGAAAATTGATGGGGCGGTAATCTAAAATTCAAAAATAATTGCAAGATTCAGACTCTAAACAGTCATAATTAAAGACGGAATGAATCCATCAATTAAAAAATCTAGCAGAAAACTTTTTAAAAACTCATAAAAATGTCCTCAGAAGTCCTCAAAAGATATACAGCTTATTACGAAAAAATTGAATAAAATGATTTCTAATCATAAGACTGTAGTTGGCGAATAATCGTGTCACCAAGCTGCACACTGAATATAAATACAGTTTACTTTAGTCCTTAATTTTTAATAAAATTTTGAAGAAATGAGAGCTAACCTATTGCCTGCATTCTTTATATCCAGCTGTGACAGTAAAGCTAACGCAACTGATGCAGTGGTTGGGTCACGGACCGCTTTACTTAGAGATGTATATAAATTAAATAAATCATCTGGTGGAACACAATGAGGAGTAAAGTATGGCGTTAAAAGATGAGCTAAATGGGAACCATTCAGAATAACACGCATTAAGTTGTGCTGTTCCTGTGGATTATCAGCAATAAATGCCTGCAAACAAATAATCAATCACTATTAATATTATCTAAAGAATGCTGAAAAGCTCTCTTTTAATAGATATACTTTTTTTAATTAGCTAATTATTGCGTCCTTTCAGAAGCAAAATCGAGGAATATGGGAGTGTATCATAAATCAATTGATCATCAGTTCTCATCTTAAGCTTTTCTTTCGGGAACTTCCTAAATCCCAATGCTTTTTTGATAAAGAATAAATGGAAAATTGCATCCAAAATAGAACAAACTTTTCCAAGTTTCGCTAAGATGAATCCATACGAATCTGCTACTGCCGGGAAAATCATTTCCAATGAGGTGATGGAGGAAGTGGAATGATAAAATAGTATTCGACCTGCATCACGCAAAAGTTTTGCATGCAGTGCAGAAGAAGAGTCAAAACCTTGCATATGACCGTACATTTTACTAAAGAAGAAATCCTTTGACAATTTTGATTCTACTAGAATGAAATAAGATGAAGAAGCAATCAATTTGTGATTTTTTTGATATGTATATATATTTGCATTCATCGTGTTCCATTATACTAAACCAATTCATTACACTATACTCGAAACGAAATGTTGAATCTAACAAACAAAAATTAATCTGATCACTTACATCACTATATTTTCCAAATTAGCACAATGAAGTGATGTCTGCTCAAACAACTTAGAATAAGTACTTGCTAATTTGTCGGATCTTTTTTGACGATTAGCTTTCATTTTAGCTTCCACAGACGTCTGAAAAAGAAAAACATTGGTAAGAAAGACATAAGCAAATTTTATTTCTTTTAAATTCTAATCTGTTCTAATCTTTGATAAGTTTTTTTTTTTTTTTAAAAATTTGAAACTTCAAAAAACAACACAAAGTTTTGTAAAACAACAGTTAAAGATAAACACTGTACCTGATATCGACTGACTGTAACGATTACAGTGGATGTAGTAGGATGCGCACATTTATTACCGAAGGCGGTACCACACTTCAATACAATAGCTAATTCAGCAGCTGATTTGGTATATAGATCCGGATAGTAACCTACGTATTCGTCATCCAGCATTTCTATCTGGTCTTTTGCACCAACAAACACCCTATCATATTCAACTAAGTTATAAAACTATTCCATGATAACATAAATTTTAAGTTTCATATTACGTTTCAACGAAATGTGCAAAGAATTATATTTAATCTTTTTGAAGAATATAAAAAACCTGGCAGCTTCGTTGATTGCTCTCAAATGTGAAGCGTAAGGCGTAAGACAGTGACGGCTATCACATGCAATGGATAAATCAAAAGGATCTTCTCGTGGCAATGTTGGATGCAACGGTATTACAGGATAAGGCAATGCCTGACTGCGTTTGCCGAATTGCGCTATCAGTTGAGTAAGATTACGTGCCTTGATTACAGGTGGGTTAACCACAAGTGAACCAAGATGACAAGCAAATATGTACAGCTGCAAAGTAAAATTGAAAGTGACTGCATTTAAGAATAATTTAACCCAAAATTTGGGTAAAATATTGTTTTGTCTCATTTATCACAATAAAGAAAAAATTAAAATAACATCTAAAAAAAGGACTCTTTTTTTCTATGTCAAATCAATAAGATATGCAAACCTTCTGTTCATCACTGATTTTCTTCCGTAGCTCATTTATGTTTATATATTCCAACCAAGGATGCTAAAATGGAGGTAGTATTAGTATGATAAGATCAATGATATGACGAAACTAGATTAAGAAAGTAGTGTTTCCAAGAATTTACAAATTCCCTTTAAAAAATTAGTGAATCGACCATACATATACATAAGAACTAACGAAATCATTTGCAACAATAAACTGTAGTAAATGGTCCAATAAAAAGTTATCGAAAGCACGAAATGATGCACTACAAATTTTGGGATTTGATAACCACTGAGCAAACGCCTGAAATACGAAGAATTCTTTTTAAAAAATCCGCAAGATTCATTATTACAGTGATTAATTAAAATTATGAATAATTATGCGCTCATTTATCACAAAACAAAAAATGTACAGTAACCAACTTCAAGATGTAAAACTCATGTCATTTTTAAATATGATTTTGCATTCACCAAATCATGCTCTTGAAATGACTTCATATTCAAAAAAAGTTTTATTTCGATGCTATCCAACCTTCCCACTGAACAGCTTTAATATTGCACCATGAAATATACTAAAACCAAGCCCAGTAAGTTTTAAAACATAAACTTACCTTATAAAATAGCGAGACATCCATTTTACTATTATACTCCAACTGAGGTAAAATCTTTTCTCGCAATTCTTCAAATAGAGATTTACTGGATGGATTTGTAAGGTATTTCTCGCCGAAGCAAAATTTTGCTCTATAAAATATCCTACATAAGGTCAAAACAAGAGTAGGTAGGAAATGAAAGAGTAGTGGACACTTTTGAGGTTTGTGCATTAACTAGTGGGCTTATATTATGTCTAATACATAATTAGTAACTACTTGGTAGTTTGTTGACATATTATAAATATCAGAAATAAAGTAACGACTGGACCAATACTTACGCCAAATATATTTTTCGCGAATATAAATGAATTGCCAAATTCTGCAGAATAAGAGGAAAAATCGGATGGTCTTTAATGTTATTACTGCATGCAAATTGTAACCATCGGTGAAAGTGGAGTCCTTCAATAGGAATGTTTACATGCGATTTGGATGCTGCTTTCTAAAAAAGTTAATTTCTAAAAAAATTGATTCCTAAAAAAATCCAAAAATTCAAATACGAAAACTGATTGATGAAATAAAATAACGAAATTTTATAATACTTTAGTAATACATTAAATTGAAAGAATTAAAAAAGGAAGTATCAAATTAAGTAAACGATATAAATATAAGATACAGAGGAAATATAAGGCAATGTCATTGAAGATATGTATCAGATTTTCCTATATTTCACGCACCTATGACACATATGGAATTATTAATGAAATATTAAAGCTAAAGTATAATTAGGATGATTTATCTAGATTACACAACCATAACTTATATTAAATCATTAACTACAAATGTTGCTAATTTGAGTTTGTTTAAATACTACCAATTCAAATTTTACAATGATTTAACTGAAAAATTAGTAATACTGGTGGCGATTTAATAATTTTGAATACCATGTTACTTCAACAAAATCAGGGAAAAATGAAAGCATCATGAATATGATCATTCAATTATCCACGAATTATATACCTTCACGGACTGCTCCAAACTATTTTTTGGATGCTTACTCATTGCCTGGTATAAAATTTCGTAAAATGCTTCATGACTCCGCTGTTCCGCTAATAACAGTGCAAAGGATGCCCATGGTGAGACATCCAAATTTGAAGAATCAATAAGAGAAGGAACACTATCATCACTTGTAAACCATGACAGCATACTCTTTGATCCATCTTTCCATTGCTGTAAATTAAAGAATATAATTTAAATTTATAGCAGTAATTAACTGGAATACAATTAAAATTGACATAGCTTCAGAATATTTTAAAACGCTTTAAAATTTTTAACATTTGTCCGCCTTATACAATCTAACCATTGACCGAATTATACAGATAGCTGTATGGTAAATACAATCGCACCACTAAAACCACTCGATTAATATATAATTCTAATTTAACAAATAAATTTTTCATGGCAAAATGATTGAAATATAACCAGAGTTTTTAACAAAACTTTACCTGTAACAAAACAGCATAATTGACTTTAAGCAACTCCGGAATACCCAATAGTTCTGTTTGATCCCTAACAAATGCATTACGTATCAATATTCCTAACAAATGAAGTGTGGATTTATCGGTGTTCCACTGAGTGGGTCTTTTGCAGCACAGTAATTGTATCCAAGCGCTCAACTGTATTTGCGAAAAATCCGCATTTAGATGGTACTGAAATTTGATTTCTCTTAAATTCATCCATGATTTGGATCTTAAAAAAAATTTTAAGATTCAAAGTACAACTTAATGAGAAGTTGGCACTAAAAAATTAGAAATCCCGATTTTTCCAAATTTCATTAGATTAGTGAATACAATAACTGAATACAAACAGTAATCGCTGAGCCTAAAAGCCGGACAGTCGGACCAGGAAATTTGTTGCTGCCAGCAATAAGTTGAACCGCATAGGAGGACAAATCGCATAGAAGTAATCGATCAAGGCATTGCGTGAAGCTGCAAGACAATTCAAAAATTATAAATGCATTTAATTCTGAAAGTTTGCTAAAGTGAAGAGATCTGACAGGAGCAAGCAAAACTGCAGTAAGTAGAACTTAGTATTTAAACTTTACGTTTCTTGTGAAGTTAAGAGAGTGACAGCATCCGGAAACGATGATATTAGTCGCGCAAGGATTACTACTGATCCAGCATAGCAACCCGATGTAATGAGCTCCGACCACAATGACAAGCCTGATGATAAAAATTCATCGACACTAAAAATTTTGTCTGATTAAAATTTTTAAAAAAATTTCGCCAAAATTGCCTCAGTCACACAACTAATATTAAAGGAAGAATATTCCTTATAATATCGTTGTATCAAAAAAAAAAAGAAAAATTTATTTACTGTGAATTGAAACCTTAATAATGATCGCTGGACAACAGAAACAAAGAAAGAAGCAAGATCGTTGACTGACTCGATGTTTAAAGCATTTGCCTGAAAAATGGTTTCATCTGATTTTACCTATTTCGTATTTTGAAATAAGTAGCAATAGACATATAAATCATTAAATTCATATAAATAATTAAAATAAATAGTCAAATAAAAATTAAATTGCCCTGCAACTTAATTATTTATCGATAATGATTAATGCATAATAAAGAGAGTGAAGATTTTAAGTATAGCGTCTCTTCTCACATTTTAGAAATCCAGGTGTAAATTTCGCAGCAGTGGTCTTTCTACACTCCTAGCTAGTTAAGTAGAGTCTCCATTATATTTAAAACTATTTAAAAAATGGGATTTTAACAAATTTAATGAGTCAATTTACTGCCTTATAAAAAACAAACAAAAAAAAAAAAAACTTATAAAAAATATAAAAAAATGAATACTTTCAATGGTAACTTTAATCGTATCAGAATATCCCAACAGAAAGCATCAAACTGATGCTCATAATCGGGTACTTTCGATGCCAATTTAGCAACTTTATTCCAGGATTTCGAAATTAATCCATTAGTTGCTTTACACTGAGCCATATGTCCCTTAACTAAAGTATCAGCACAGACAGCATGTACTTCAGGTTGCAACCAGAGCTTCCCATTTTCATCCGTTCCCCAATTCATGGAACCTAACACACGCCTTAACTAAATCTATTAAATTTGATAAACATGAAAAATTTTTCTTTCATGCTGGATACTTTCATATTGAAATCCTTCAAAAACTTCATAAAATTTAAATCCCTAGAAATTTTAGAAAAAAGCAATTTTTGTTTCTCCTGAATGCTTCAGTTCTAATAATCTTTAAAAATTAAAATGCTAGCCTGGCAATTCTGGACGCAGGGTGATTTGGTGGCCTGTTAATTAACCACTTTCCACATATTACGCCGATGTCATCCACCGATAAGCGACATTTTGACAATGGTGCTATTGATAGCACTTCTACAGCGTACTGGAAATGACTTTGAAAATTTCATTATGGTCTCATCTTCACATAGTTTAAATCACTAATGAATGTAGAAATTATAAATTTCTAGTAAACCAAAAATAAACCAAGAAAAGTCTACATTCAGTAATGCTGGATGATTTCAGGCAGAAAAAAAACGATTAATTGTCAGATTAATGAATGTAAACTTCCAAACAAACACTGAATTATAATATCAGACAAAAAGATTACAATATTATTTTTTTCCCAGTTTTGAATGTTGCCAATAGCCAGTGCAAAACTAAGAATTATTACTGTTATCATTAAATACCGAAAGTGCTAACTTCATCCAGAGAATCGAGATTTCGGTCAATAAAAAGCAATATTTTCTGAAGGATGTATGGATGCTTGTCGATAAGAATTCCAACAGTTTCAGCACCAATTTTATAGAAATGATCACGCATGGAAACATCAAGAAAGCAAATCTTAAATAAATGTAAATTACTGCATTATTGGTAATAATGAACAATTTGCACTCACTGTCTACTGCTTTTGTGGGATGTGTATATCCGCACTTAAAGTATAGCTCAACCATGGCTGTCGGGAAAAAACAGTTATGAAAAACAACCGCAGTTCTTACAGAGCATCAATATGAAAGTTTTATGAAAAACATAGAAAGTTTCAGAAATGCCTGACAACTATGAGATATTTGAATTTGTAATTTTAAAAATAGCTTACATTTAGTATTTCAATGGCAAACGAATCAATACCTCCATCCGATGCAGAAATAATGGCTGCTAAAGCCGAAATCATATAAATGCGATCGTCACTGGGTAAATCCGGTAATTTATCAAACAAACTGCCAGCTTTAAAAAGCAAAAATTCAATCTTATTAAAAAATTCCTGATCCATTCGAAATTCCGAAATTATTCGGATCCTCTTCATCCAAAAAAAAAAAAAAAAAGCGAAATCGATAACCTTTTCCAACTAAATTAGGCAAGTCATCATCTGGAAACTCGTACAATTGTGCTACTGTTACTGCCATTTTTCGCCTCAACAATATTTGACAACGCATCCGACATGTCTCACTGGCAAAATCATATGGTAAATCCACCACAAATTGCAAAAGTCCAAAACTAAAACTACTTTTAATTATTCTAAAATTCGCTATATGATAATAAGAAAAAAAAACTTTAAAAACTAGGAGTTTAGTTCACAGGTGCTATAAAATAAAATATCTCGACAATGATAGCTTATTTCAGAAAACCTGCCGTATTCAACATATGGTCTTCCCAGTAATAATGAGTGCCGATGATAGCAGTATATATATACCAAATTTATTAATAGAAATAATGAATCTTTTTTTCAATATTTCACAAGCGATGTATTGTGAAAGGAACTGCACTTACAAATTTTGTATTGTAAGTGAGTTCTGATAATGGCAGTACCATCAATATTCCATGAAAATTTTAATTAAGTGGAACATTAACTTTTTTGTACGACTACGATTTTCTGGGGCAAGTTTCCATCTTGTTCTTACTGCACTGTCTTAATATTTCAGTTATTTATGATGCGCTATTTCTCAGCCAGTGTTTGCTTTCATAGACAAACAACAGATGTTTAATAATAAATAAAATAAACTTCTGCTTGCTAACGATGTAATATACTGCATGTAGAATAATGCGATCGAATTCTTTTTGCACTATTTCCGCTTCTTCAAATGATAATAAATCTTTGATGAGTTTCAAAAATTCTGCTGAACATCTGCAATTTATTCATATTAGTGCCGCTGGATTCCTTGAGATATAAATGAAAATTATTAATATACGCTATCATCATTCCTGAGAGCTGCAGTGAAACAACAAGTTGAACATGCTTCATTAAGGAATCTAATATAATATCAAAGATTCTCTCTAATATAACCATTGATAGAGTAAAGGTAGAATTTTGACAGAAAAACTATCATGATAAGCAAATCAGATTTCTAATATCGTTCAGCTACTGATACTCTCATACTATAATGAGATGATTAAGTCGAGTTTGTGAAATTTCGCTTAAATCAAATAGAATGTCCTGACCAAAAAATATTTAGGTAATTAATAAGCTATTTAAACCATGATGCACGATTTAAAAAAAATTACATGACACTTTGGCGTAATGCATAACCAATTTGTTTACACAATTGGCGATAGTTGAATGTCCCATAGACGTAGAGACCATCATTAAATATTTTAATAAGCACCAATTCAAATGCAATTAAAGTTAAAGCCTGATTAATTGGATCGCTTCCTAAAAATGTCGATACCAAATTTGAATTATGATGTTGACGTAGTTCAGTGAAAATAAGAAAAGTTTGAAATCCATATACATTAATTCCATCTTAAAAATATGAACAGCAGTTCATATTTTTAAACAACAAATTAAATGACAAAGTAATTTATTAGGATTTAATTTGATTTGTAGAGGCTTACCCAGAGTGATAGCGAAACATCTAATTGCTTTAGCAAAAGCAGCTTCAGCACTAAACTGATTAAAAAATGCGATTAAATCGCTTTCACTTACGGTTATTACAGATCCATCTTTCTGGAAAACACAGACATTTATAATTCTGCTGATGTACACATTTGGAATTGTTAGCTAATAATTAAAATCATAAGTCATTCGAAATTGAATATATAACATTCTTTGTCCTAATAAACTGCAGTGAAATCATCAGTGACACAGATTACCATTGAAGCTAATAATTCATCAATTATGTTAAAGCACAAAAATCACCTCGGCCCCATCGTCGTTTATAATAATCCAAGTATTGTTTTCATTTTCAAAATTCATTACACGTCTCAAAAAATTCTCACGACCCCTGCAATATATTAATAATAATTCATTGAAGTTCAAACTCGTAAGACTTGATTAATGCATTTTATTTCAACGGGGATGGCACTAGCTATAGACTACAGGAAATAAAAAGAATAAATGTTGGAACTGCATTTAAGATGTAAATATTACTTGTCCAAGTAAAAACAATATGGAAGTCACGTTTAATAATTAGAATTAAATGTGTCATTGATAAGGACTTTAATAATAAGAATCAATAGATTTAATATTCACCGTATCGATGAAAGAAGTAAACTCATCATTACAATGTAATTATCAATAATAAGACGATCATTTGTGCTATCAATTTCGATATATGACTGCAGCAATGGTGCCGCCCATTGCGATACTGGTGAAACTAGACGAAGCATCTGGCACAACAAATATTGCTGATCAGAAGAGGTACATGCTTTCAGAAGAACGGCCACCTAAATTTTAAACTTTCAGAAAATTCCTTTAAAGCTATTTCTCAAAAAACATTCATTTTCTACATGTGAGCTGAATATACTGATTTTGAATCTGAAGCTAACCAATTCACTGATCCATCCAGAAACGGCAGTAGTGAATCGTGAAGGAAGATCTGGATAACGTAAATAATGGAACAAATCCGAAAGTGCATTACGAAGATTTCGCCTACTTACAGTATCAGCACCATCAGGAAGAACTAAAATTTGAATAAAATCACTGAAATTGTAAGAGAATTTAGAATAAGTTTCAACTAAATGAAAATATCCAAAGATACCTTTTTTTTTTTCGAAGAATTTTTCCTAATAATCCTTATTAAAAATACGTTTAAAGAAAAAATGAAGGAAACATATTAGGCATTATAAAAATGATTTCTCTTTCATAATATTGCTACTATTCCGGTGGATTTATGGTAGAGAATGATATTACTATGATTTTCTGTGGAACAGAACAAAGATTAATAAACTAACAGCATGGTGGACTATTTACATTGCAACGATGTTCCACCATGAAGGCATTGTTACATTCAACAATATGCCATTGAATTTGTAATGCGAGAGAACGCATCTACAATTTGGTAAAATATGCCTTATTCATATTTAAGTTATAAAAATATTAAGCTACTAATGAGTATCTCAATTTATAAGCATAATGTAGCTAAACTGTCAACAAAGGAATTAAACGAGATTGTTTAATATTTAGCACAAACGTCTGCTTTAAAAAAAAAAAGAAAGAATTTACGTAAATTTCAGATATATGCGTAATATATATATATATATATAAAATACGTAAAATTTCACACTGAAATTTTTTCCATTTCATATTAATTAATGCAGTACTTTGTAAAAAAAAGAAGTTACTGATATTTAAGGTCGCAAATAATAGACAGTAAGTTGAAGACACTGCAGAAATACAGTACTTTAGATACCTGAATTTGTAAACTTAATGACGAATCAAGACGAGAAGTTACATCACGCTTCAATAAATGAGACAATTCCGTGGCTTTTTCGGGATGAAATGTCGCAACTAAATAAGTTGCGCTACCTGTTGCATATTTCTGCTCTCCACATCGCCCCTGAAATGAATTTAAAAATAAGTTTTCAACAGGTAAATAAAGAGTGATCGCTAAATTACTATTTCCAACATGTTCATAAATTCCTTCTATGAAGCTTTTGAAGTAATATACTGAAAATACTAATAGCAGCTCAAAGATTCTTGAAATCTGCGTTTTGCTATCCTAGGCTAAATTGAATTATGTCGAATATTAATTCATTGTGTAAAAAAGCTCTTTTAACTCGAGAGCTTCGTTTTTTTGAGATGGAGAATTCAACAACTTTACTCAAACATGGCAAACGCAGTGGAGACATATTAGAGAAAGCTGGAAATGTTTTGTCACCTAAATCCATAATGTGAAAGGAATATCGATAAATTAAATTATATTTACTTAAAAGCTCTAAAGGAACATAATTTAAACAATTTTCAACTTTTTTTTTTCAGAGTTTGAGTAGATAAAGTTTGAAGTGAAGATGTCAGTTTCTTGAAATTGTACGTACTTCTTGCTTGATAAGCCGATTTTCAGCTGTCCATGATGCTTGGGTACAATCTTTCACTAGGCGTTCACAATCCATAACGTCAGTTTCTTTAGAATCAATATCCTCACATACTTTTTTATATCGTTTCAAATATTCGTGCAAACTATGCTGTGGAAATTCTTCATGCTATAAAAAAACTTATCAAGGGAATAGTATCATTTCATTTCATTTTTTTTTTTTTTTCTATATAAAACACATTAAATTAAAGGTGTCAAATCTAGAAAGTTACTGATTCTGTGATAAAAATTTGGCAAAAAGTTGTTAAATGCATATGCAATAAGGAAGTGAATATATACATACACTTATTTTTAAAACAGGACAGGAATTCCACCTACTTCTAAAAATTTATCCACAAACTCTTCAACAGCTTCATATAATTCATTCTGGTAAAATAACAGCAACTGGTTTTCTGTCAGCAATCCGTATTCATTGCATTCTAGGAAAAGAGACGGATACGTATTAGCATTAGCTGTGTGCTCATACGTAATCTCATTCCTTCAAATATAATTGATAATAAAGACTCAGCAAATTAAAGCATATTTTACGTTAGGCATAGGTTAGCATCAGTTATCGATTCATGATATTAAGTACATAAGTAATTCGCTTCAACTTATTATTTATAGTCATACTTTTTGCAATGTTGATTTTACCAAATTTTTTGTGATTTCTTTATGTTTTATATGAATTTATCGGACAGCTTTACAACTTCGCTAACTTCCTTATTAAATTTCATTTGAACACACTAATCTCCTCATTGCTGTAGCTCAGTAAACCATTCGACACAAAAAGGAAGCAATGAAATAAAGCTTATACTGAATTTCGGATGATTGTTGTATGCCAGTTATGTCACGTTCTTGCACTCGTTCCGAGTTAGTTAACGTTGACAATTCATCGATAATTTGGGAAGACGCAGACTTTATTTCATTCAATTGCATAATGGGATAGATACTCGGTCTGTAACTAACGACAATTAACACAATCAAAATAAAAATTTTTTAAATAACTAAGATTCTGGCATTTAGCAGTATATTTTTTAACTAATGTATTGCATATAAGACAGCAACGTATATTTTCTTTCTGTCTGAACCACTTGACATTGTTCAATTACCGATTTAATTATCAATATAATGGTAAATCAGTATATAATGCTAAATCAGAATTGATCTATTGATTCATGCAACAATATAATGATAAATCAGAATTGATCTATTGATCTGCTGTGGTACTAACGCTATGTTTTCCATCGTATCATCTGTTCTTGTTGCATCTTTGTTATTCATAAGTGAAATGGAAGCAAATGCTGTCGGAGCCGTCGAATATATATTATCTATGGAAGAAACATTTTCCACATTCTCTTCCTTTTCCGTTCCCAATGGTGCATCATGATCCGGTTTCTCATCATACCCTGTCCTGAATTCAATAGTTATACGTGCAAAATTATTCACATTTTTCAGTACAGTGTCTTCCATTTGGTGGCATAATTTCACACACAGAGAACCTCTCAAAATCTTCAAATGTCAAAATGAAGTATAATAAAATTATTAGGTTAAAATTATAGTGCCAAATTTGAGAAAGTGTACAAAACTTTTTTTTGAATGACAACGAGAAGTGATAAAATATTTCCTACTTAGGAAAAGATTTTCTCCTAACTATATCTTAAATCTTCTGATCTCGGTGCTGGTGACACAGTAGCATATGCTAAGATGTGACTGAAGGTTTTCTAATATCGGAAAAAAACAAACTCAGTTTCGCTAATTTCTTTTGAACCAATGGGTGATATGCATGCTGAAACAGTGTCGCTAGGTTTCACTTCTAATTTTTCAATATTTCTTGCATTTGTAGATGTCTCATCACTTCCTCTCTCTTTTCCAATGTCAGATGTTGATGGCTCACGTTCATCAACGTCTGCAAATCCTTTTTCCAATTCATCAAGAGTTAATATAGATGGCGGCGGTGAAAGTTGACGCGGTTTTGAATATTTTTTTTTCTGTCGTTCTAATTCCATTACTTCTCGTACGAAGAAAACTGGAAGTATCGATGTTGAGAATGAAAATACCACAAATTAATATTAGGAATTTAACTCCAATGAAATATAACATCCCGACTGGTAATTATCACTAAAGTCCACGATTAGATGCGACTATTGGAAATGATGAACAAACAAAGTGTCCTAGCATTTCATCCTATAATAATTCATCCCATAGAAAGATACATATTTCGCCGCCCTTTTTCACGATGAAATATGATGATATGAATTATTCCCACTGTAATGCCGGCTTTATCAGTAGTTTACTGATGCTTAACAACTGTTGTAAAACGTTATAAAAATTTTTAACTTGCTTTATTCCATTAAAAATGTCCATAACAGTTAAGCAATGCTTTAAACGAAAAAATCAACAAAAAAAAAGGCATTTAAACGCCTGAATTAAGTCTCAAAACTTCGAACAGAAGAAGTACCAGAAGCGACGATCATATCGATAAAATAAATTTTAAGCTTCATTAAAATTCAAAAAAAGTATTGGGGTTTTCATTATTCCGTAATTTATCAGTTATCTAATGATCATTATAATAGTCTAACCAACGAGTGCAATTAACTATTATATTTTGCTACAGCAACTTGCTATAGAAAATAAATACAGAACTTTTTGTTCAAAGCTTATACATTAGCAGTGAAAATGGAAATCACGTTTCTGCAAAGGTCTCTACGACGTGATCAAATATGTCAACAAATTTATAGTTTCAAAATGATAAAAAAAAGAAGAAAACTTCAAGAGAGCAATAAAAAAAGAAACTTCACGAAAGCAATAAAAAAGGAAAATCAAGAATCAACAACAGGATTTCCACCACTTGAACTAGCGCCATCATGTTTCTTTATTCCTGAAACGATGTCATCGATCCGTAGCAACAATACTCCCGTCTCAATCGCTGTTTTCAAAACTTGCAGGCGAACCGAGAGAGGATCCCAAATATTTAATTCGTTCATATCAGCCTGAAAAAGTTCCAGTCACTGAATACTAGAAAGCGCATATAATAAACGAAAACTCTTCAAAGATGCAAGAATTTGACTGATCAACCATCTACGAAATGCTAAATTTTCTAAGTTTTAAGAGAGTTTGCATAATCTCAGCTAATGTTTCTAAGAGTACACTTGAATAATGACTTCCACTGATGATGGGTAGTGAAATCGTTTACTTAGTGAAGTTCGAAACCGCATATCATATTCTATAGTCCAACATGCTTGAGAACTTTAAAGGGATGGTTTTTTAGACAAAATATAGGGGATATCAACTCACCAACTGACCGGTACACCCATCAATTCCCCAAGTCCAATTGCTAGGAGACTGAGCATGCTTTGCTCTCAAAGCTGTTAACTGTCTAATTGTCGAACCACCACAATTCTGCACCAGTGTTCTTGGGATAACTTCAAGAGCATGAGCAGCTGCTTTGTATGGCCACTGACGCACGCCCTCAATTGATTTGCCTTTCTCGTTTAAGGCCTATAAAAAACCAGTTCATGTACGTCAAGTACTTCTCTGAAAGATATTTCTGGCAACCTGCAGCATGCAAACGCTGGAAATCGTTGAAAGCTCGAAATCTATGGAATCTAAACAGAAAGAAACTATTTCGCCAAATGACAACTAAGATTCTCTTTTTACTGAACAGCACAATAATTTAGTCATTTGAAATCAATGAGTCAAATAAACAACTATACAGAAATCCAACCTGAGCTAAAGCCATTTCTATAGCACCACCACCTGGAACAAGCCGTGGATTTACCATGATATTACGCACAACATTTAATGCATCCTCAAGATTTCGTCCTATTTCATTGATGATATCCTAAAAATTGAAACAGAAATGAATTAATCATAAATATTAGCTTCGCGTTATGATATATCAGTAACCGAGAATACTGTAGTGAACACTTAGATCACGCATTACAGAACCCCTAATCATAAGCCAAGCAATTAACATCGATAATTGAGAACGATTTAGCATGGGCTTGTATTAAAACAATAAAAATCAGATGTCCAAGATACACTTAGAGATGAATCAGAAGACGATTTTTGTTTGGAAAGCAAAACATAAATGTCGATATTTCACAAAACGAGTGATCGTTATCTACCAGCATGGAAATTTTGTAGTGAAAGAAGATCCCGAAGTGAGAGTCTAAACTTGTCGCTTCAAATCGACATATCTTTTGATATTACCTTGCTTGGGCCTCGCAAAACCACGGTTGCAGCAGTAGCTTTTTCTGAAGTAACATAGGTGTAGTACTCATCACCGATTTTCTTGATTTCAAATAAATCAGCATTCGTGCCGACATCTTCTTCGCGAAGATCTTGCGTATCATTAATGATTGTTGCTCCAGTAACACTGCAATGAAGTAATTATTACAAGAAAATATAGATTTCATCTCTTCTCAGGACATATCTTCCGCTATGCCAAGAATCTCATGATCATAATTTTTTTCTGTTACTTTTGTCGCTTTTTCCTCTAGTTTTTATGGGAAATAACTGCTGAAATTAACAATGTAAACACTTAGGAAATATGACAAGCTCTATCACAAAATATCATACCGAGCCAATCTGTTGTTGTCAGTTTTCTTCAAGCGTCTAATTGCTGTTATACCCGCTTTCAGAAGAAAATGTTGAGCCAGATCGGAAACGCCTTTCTCTGTGAAAACAACATCCGGTTTCACGGCTATTATGTCATCACACATTTTTTTGATTGCATCTTCTTCCTTAAAAGTGTAATTATTTCAAGTGCAAATTTGACTTTGATGCTTTAAAAAGAAACATGTCTCTGCTTTTAACTGGAGAAGATTCTTTAATCTAAATTTTAGTTATTTTATTTTTTTAACATTTTACTAATCAAATAATATATATATATCGAAACATACGAATGAAATAAGAACATACCTCCTCTAAAACTTTACTAAAATCTTCTTCTTTCATGATTTCTAGTGACATTTGACTTTCACCCTTTTTATACTCAAGGTTGCAGTCAAGAAGTACAATACGTGGCTTTTCTTTCCGACGAAACATTCCCGCATGTGTCACATCTTTATTTAACACTACGCCTTTTATCACTTGCGAATCTTCAATTCGCCCACCCGGTATCTGGAAATGAACAAATATTCATTAACTGATATTGAGATTATTTGCTGATTATATGATTATTCCTACTACCGGATAGCATATGGTTATCGAAATATGATCCGCGTAGAGAGCATTACTGTCAAGAATCAAGAATTTTTCGTACCCAAACAGTAACTAAATATAAATTTTCGCTAATTTCTGACTAGCTATTTCCAACGATATTTTTAAAGAAACAATAACAATATTCAATAATCAGCCAAATTAAACATCAATATGAACAGAATAAGACTTATAACATAAGATTAATAGAAATTTGAGAGTGATCTTATCTGATGCATGAAAATATACATACCTTTTCAATACGGCAATAACGCTTAATATCAATTTCTTGATGACCATGCTGGACAATTCTAATGGTTCTAACAGCATTCAGAGCTATTTTGACAGCTAAGTCCATCCACTTCGACAACATTTTTGTACCCAAGCATGATTTAATAACAGAGGCGACTTCCGCATCATTGTTTACATCAATTTGCTTGCTGAAAAATAACTATGTCTGAAAAGCAATTAATGATGAATAGAAACAAGCTTTATTTGAAAAATTCCAAATAATCCGAACAGTTACGGGGTGAGGAACCCATTTTTAGCAAAGTCTTGTAAAACAACTTCATATCAATCAAACTGTATTAACTAGGAGCAAATCTGAATTTCTATTTCATTCAATGTTTGATAGTATAAGTAACCTGAACTTTTCTTCGGCAAGCACAATCATATCTTCTAGAGCCATTCGATAAGCCTGAATATAAATTTGTTCTTTATGCAATCAGAAAAATTTCATTTTCAGTTAATAATGAACCAGGTTAAAGAAAAACAATCCATGAAACAATGGTTTGGAAACTGGATTAACCTGAATAATAATAGTTGGATGGATGTTCTGATCTAAAAACTGCTGTGCCTGAGACATCACTTCACCAGCTAATATTATAACCGAGGTTGTACCATCACCAGTTTCGTCATCCTGCGTACGAGCTATTTCAATGATTGACTTCGCCGCTGGATGTTTCACGGTAATTTCGCGTAAAATTGCATTACCATCATTAGTAATAACTATGCCTGTAAATGTTTGACATATTAAAAAAAAACCTTTAAAGAGCAAAATGCCTACATCCACATGCCAGATGTTGTCAAATACCAGCTAATGCTTATTAGTCAGTCGACAACACATAAATGCGTAGAAATTCCGTCTAAGCACTCTTCCGAATTAAAAAAATATGTACCTCCCATTGGATCCATTAGCATTTTTAGCATTGCGCATGGACCTAAACTTGTGCGAATGACATCAGCAATAGTCTGAAAAACAAAAATCATATTATACATATAAGCTTCTCAGCTCAACTGATACTATTTTGATGAGAGTGGTCGAATAAGAGATACGTCAGTGAACGACAGTACCCTGGCCTTGAGAAGGCAATGAAAGAGTAGATAATAATACTAAATAATAATTTTCAGGATCGATGATGATAAGAATCAATACCTTAGCAGCAGCAATGTTACCAGCTTGCACCTGATGGCCACTTTCTCTGGTAGTATTCTGACTAAGTACTATGATTGGCGTTGCGCCACCTGCACGTATCATCTCCACTGTATTTCCTGTTCACTTTATTTAATATGAGTCAAAGAGCTGAAAAACTTTATGTAAGATAACACTTAATTGCGCTAAATTTTTACATGAAAAAAAATGTTGACAGACATACTATGTAAATTTAACTACTCACTCTCAAAAATACGATCAAAAATAAGACCTAACAATTAGCTAATTTATTTTTTTGAAACACACAACAGAACTGTTCGGGAAAATCCTAATTAAGGTAGCTAACAGAGATGAGAAAATTTAATTCTGTCA